AGAATTCATTAATTTTATATATTGTTATTTCCTGTCTAACAATCAATTATGTGTTGTTGTTTCCACACAATCAATAATCTAATCTCTGTTGTTTGATGATTGTTATTTATAATAACAATGGTGATAATGAATATAATTCATCCACTACTAATATTATATTTAAGAAAATATTTCAAAATATAATAGATAATATTTTCATCTTCGTCATTTTTAACATCAAGCCGCGCAACGCACGGGTGACGTACTAGTAATACTAGGTACAGAGGTGCACAAATGACATGAATCGATAATATACTTACCACAGTTACCACTTTTATTTGTGCCACAGTTCACAAACAATCAAACAATGGTAAAACTCCGGTATAATGTACTTGTTGCATATACAAAGTTGGTTCAATTATTAAGGCTATGTTTGGTAAAACTAGCTGATAAGCTAGCTGATAGCTGATAAGCTAGCTTATAGCTTATATGTAATTTTTGAGCTTATAGCTTATAGCTTATGACTTATAGCTGAAAAGCTAGCTTATATTATAAAAGTGTTTGGTAAATTAGCTGATAAGCTAGCTGAAATATAAAAATTCAACTAGCTTATTTGAAAAGCTACCTAAAGTAGCTTATGGGATAAGCTCGAGCTTTTTAAAAAAGCTCGTCCTACCAAACGAAACTTATTTTAATATAGGGAGCTTATAAGCTAACCAAATAAGCTATAAGCTAGCTTATTTGGCTTACCAAACATACCCTTATTGGTGGCTTCATAGCAAAACTGATTAAATTAAATATTAGCATCCGCAGAACAAAATAAACACGAGGCTTGCAATATCGAGTTCATAATGGTCGAATTTCTTCTTAATTCCCTTACGCTCTGCAGGCAAAATTCCCAGCATATACAACCGCATTACAAGTAAAACGTCTCAAATACAGTCGCAAGTGCTCCACAATTCAGCAGCAGCAGCAGCTTGTTAACGCTAATATCTCAACACTCATTCCACACCATTTATAATAGCAAAATTTTGATGCACTTGACACTAGAATGTCGTCAGATGAATCGGTTGAGCAACACAACCTTATGATCAACTGACGGACAAAAATTCGTTTATATATATTTACATGCATTTACCCAGCAAGAAACTGGCATTATATACCGAGTCCCAGAAACTGAAAGATAAAACACCAGACAGCCAGACGAGCAGTACTTCATCTGCCACCTCCACCCACGAAGAATTTCCATGGCATTTCTCATTTCAATATAATTTTTTAAGCAGAAAAACCAACTGGCATGAGAGCATTATTCACTTTCCCTCTAATCTGCCCGTGATTTGGTGACCTCAAGTTCCATAAAAACAGAGGTGATAATGGAGGGGATAATGGAGGGGAAGTAATTTGCATATTCTGCACAACCTGAGAGGACTGCAATAGCTTTCCCGGAGGTAAAGCCACCTCTCTTTGACCACTAGAGCGTATGGAGAAAGTTCTAGAAACAGTAAGGTGTGGGAGGGGAAGTGGGGATCCTTCACTCGATGGGCTCGAGGGATTCCAATTCGCCAGGCGATTCCTATTACCTAATGGGGCAGAGTGGCCGAGGGCTTCCACGGATAGTTTCAGATTGGGCCCACAAGAATCAGGGGGCCTGGGAAGCTCGTGAAGCTCGTTTATCTTGGGAGAGGAGGAAATCTGGGGCGAGGCATTGGACCCACCCGTGTTAAAACGGTGATGGTTAGACGATGGCTTACTTGCTAACGAGTCGGAGAATGACTGCCTTTTCGTTCTCCAAGTGGTGTCAAATCCGACACGCTCGTCGGCTCCTTCAGTCAGGGGACAAGGCACGGGAAGAAAGTGCTTGTTCTGGATGTTCTCATCAAGCGACGTTTTAGGATTTTCAGAAACACACGGGTCCGGTAAATTGTGGTTGATTATTTTTTTTTGCTTCTCCGTGTCCAGAGGTGACGAATGCCAAGTGTTTTTGGGGCTTCTAGAAGATGGGGTAGTGGTACCTGAAAGGGCGGTGGCCTTCGCATCAGAAGGAGTGGGCAGGACATGTGTGTTGCTGTTCAGTTTTGGCATGGCACTCAACATTTCTTTAATTCTTTCAGCAAGGTCAATTTTTTCTTTATAGATTGGAGCAGAATAACTGCTCGCTTGACATCGGTGACTCAGCATATCGTCTCCTTGGTTCTCTTTACTGTTTATCTTCCCTTCAGCTGCTTGTGTCTTAGTTTTTTGTGCACCTGAAGCGCATAACTGCTCCGGCTGCATATTTGGTGAAACAAGCGAATTAGTAACTTATTTTTGGGTATGGTAATAGGCAGATACATAAACTGAAGAAAGAAGAGGTTTTAAGTCCTCTTTTGTTTTTGTTTCCGAAATTTCATTTCCATTTTTCAACGATTCATAAAATTGAAATCCACTTGTTTCTAACTTGCTCCACTACTAATTCTAATTACAATGAAATGACTTCAAATGTAGCCATCCAGACCTAGTATCATTTTTCACAAAAGTCGCCATATAAATCCAGAATCCTAATAAGAGGTTTCATAAATGAAATTGCAGGGTGTTGCATGAATATATATAAGGAGCATAACAATCGGGGCTACTAATAAATATAATCACTAATTCGAGGAAGATAACTCATACTCATACCCAAGCCGTAATGAAAAGACTAAATTAGCAACTGAAGAAAAAAGAAATAGAAGGAGAAAAAAGAAAGGTAAAAAAAAAAAAGCACCTCCACGGAGTTCCTCAACGTGAAGCATTTATCCAGCTCCAGCTCGTTTTTTCTGAAATCAAAACTTAGTTCTCCATAACCATTACTTTCGAAACTGTTCCATTCATCATTCATATTTTCTGCATTCAAGTCAGATAGCTCATAATCAATGCGATGCTTCTCTGCAACATTTCTAACACGTGGTTCGACTGCTTCGAGAGATTGAAGTCCTTTCCGGAAAAAATTTAACTGCTTTCAGAAATAATGGAAAAATCAAAAAAACTTAAAATTGACTATGGCAAGATCTTCAAATGTGAAATCATGGGAAGTACTAAAAGAACCTGTGCTGCATGGTGACGAGCTGCTTGAGTTAGTAGGCTCCGGCTTTGCCCTTGCTTTAACGATTCTACACGAAATATGCACAGCCTTGCAACATCATCGTATTCTTCACAAACAGCTTGCAATTGTCGATTTGTGAAAGTCTCCCCTTTACCATGTTTCCACCTCCCCTTCTCTCGAAGTTGGCCAGCCATGTATTCAAACATATCTCTGTAAACCACCCATGCTATCAATAAAAAGTGACACGAGAAAGAATATAAAATCCAGTTGAAAAAATGTAAAGATCGTTTACCTTTTCTCGTCACATTGCAATTTCATCTCCTGAAACAATAACAAATAATCAGTTAGTCCAATATTGGAACTTGACTAATGGTCCAAAAATTAATAGATAAAGTTTAAATACAGATGTTCATTAAAAATAATCAGTACGATAGCAAGAGATTCAACCTCCACTTTCCGTAGCTCACTAAGAAGAGACTCTGATGGATTTGTGATTGTCATGATAATGTGGGAACGCTGTCAGTATAGACAACAATGAATTACAATAGTGTTTTCAGCATAAACAACAATGAATTAGCATAGTGTTAAATATATAGTGTGTGTATGCGAGTGTGTGATTTATACTTAAGACTGGCATGGCAATCGTCAATCAAACAATGGAGTATGAACACTAACATAGCTGTCAACTAGTTTCTGAAGTTCAAGCTGTAATTTTCCCACCGTAGATAATACTACTCCTGCACAGCCACGAAAACAAAGTCTGACGTTAACGTCAAAGTTTTGGATAACCTTAATTCATCTTTAATCATCTTGATTACATAGAAAAAGTGTTCCAACAAAAATGATGGAACAATCGAAGTCAACAATATAGATCGATTACAAAATTTATTTAGTCGACAAAAGATATTCCTAAAAAGAGCCAGTGCATACAAAATCTACAGTTAAACCTGGTGCAGAACGATTTTATTTGCTTGATATAGTGGAGAGTTTCTCAGAAACATAGTTTCAATGACACCATTTAATATTACTTTTGAAAAATAAGCACAGCAGCTTGCGGAAGTATAATAATTTGCCTCACTTACTACTTTCTCCATCATCATGCATTGCAGTTTTCTCCAGCAGACAATTACCCATTTCCAGCAATGACTCCGAAAATTCTGAAAAGTAGAAGTTATCAAGTTCATGGATAAGTTAGAGTATTTTGAATCAGAAGGTATAACAGCTCCGTATACCTATTATCATATCGCATTATATAAAGTAAACGCAAAAGACATATAGTCAAGCACATAATGTTAACTACCATTATCGACTTTTAAAATTTGCACAGCAAGGTTACACGAAGCTAGAATCTCATTAATGATCTCAATTACATTGCTCACTTAGATTCAGACTACAGTAATTGCAAGTTCGAAAAGTACATCCAAAAAATTAAATAAAATACCGTAAGCACTATTTGCTGTTGCAGCAGCAGCTGAAAGCAAGCTATCATAGCAAGTTCTCATGTCTTTCATATCCTGCAGACGATATGCAGCAAATCAGACACTATCATATAACAAAGAAGCCCAAAAAATATCAGAGAAAAATATTTAACAAACCATTACACTTAACACTTCATCTACACAGATAAAAAAAAAATAAAAAATTGCAACAATAAGAATTAAGGTCAGAAACACATCATAACATCAACGCAAGTTGAGAAAAGTCGTATACCACCAATGATGGATGGATAGTTCATTTCAAGCTAACAAATATTGAGCTCATACACTGATACACATCTACAACTTTTTTTTTTTTGTCCTCCTATTTTAAAAGGAGGATCAGTAGTGTTCCCACTTCCATACCTATCGGTCGTGGCTGAAGGTCTTACCATCAAGTTGTGCTCCGTTGTATGTACAACTTGACCCCAAATGAGTAAAGGCAACTACTGATTTTCTAAGTTTTATGTCAAAATTGATTGATCTGAAAACTACTAAACGAACCATACTTATGCAGAACATGGCCTTTAGAAGCTGATATCCATCACCGATGGCAAACATAGAAATCATGAGAAACTAAAAGCAAAAAAATCCAAAAGAAAACAATGGACGGCACCTTTGCAGCTTGAGATAGCCCATCCGTATGCACCAAAAACTTGTGATCCGATTTTCCCATCGGGGAGCCCTTATGCAGTCTGATATTCCTCAGTTTCTCAAACGGCGACTTCATCATGTCCGGCCAATCAATGAAAATCTCTCCACTCAAAACTTTTGAAGAAGGAAAATTAACTCGAAATCAAACAGTCGGAGCCAATTTATATTCCAGATTCTGAAAGGAAATCAAACAAATGGTTACGCGAAATTGAGGAGAATTTTTTTTTGTTTTCAAAAAAATGAGAAAATTCAAAGGTTGTGCGCAAGGCAAAACAAATGCTGATAATAGTGACGACGGACCTCTCATATCCAGATGTCGGGATCGGTGGTCGGTCAAACTCAATCTACTCTCCTCCTTCAATGGCGTCCAGTGTGAATAACATTTTTTTCAAAGTCTGTTGAACCGCGTTCGAGAAGGGAAGGGCACTGTCCTCTCCTGTGCGTACGATGAAACTTCTGTTATCGGTCGGGTTTGGGGAAATTAAAAAGGACCCGAATACTGGATGTAGTCTGACAATTTTGCCCTTCGCAAGCAAGCGTGAACTGAAAATTGGAAAAATTAAGGGCTTGATTGTATACAAATTAATTCACTCACTTTTATTTCAACTCAAAAATTAACTCAACTTTAACTCAACATCACTATATTTAATATTATTCATATAATTAAATAATACAAACCAATCATTCTTACACATCACATCAACTTTAATTCACTATTCATCCACTCACATAACTTTAACTACCTATCATTTTCAATCATTTATCTCATACTTTTACATCAAATCAATTTTAATCATTTTATTTTAAATATTATTTAAATACATTCTTAAAATTCCACTACAACTAACCATATCACCTTTTTCAAATTAACTATAGTTAACGCAAATAACTCATTTTAAACAAATTATTTCATAAACAATCAAGCCCTAAAGATGGTCAAAGCTTTCTTTTACCTTTTTTTCTTTTACCTTTTTTATAATTGATGATGATGATGATGATGATAACTTTAAATTGAATTTTTTTGGTTTTTAAGGTTGTGTTGACTGTTTTGTCATTTTTAAAAAAAAAAAGTCAGCGCAGATGAGAGTGAATTAGGATAGCATAAAAAAAAAAAAAAATAGTTGGCATTGCATCTTGACCGGTTCATCAGCAGTATTAAATAATTAAGTTTATTTCAATGTATATTAATATTAATTACATACTCATAATTGAAGACGAGCTATTTTGACTGAAATCTTCATGAATCGGCATTTCGTGCGTGCATGTCGATAAAGTATACACTATGAATATCAATGATATACACACACACTACGAGGTGTTATTTTTCACAGTTCTTGAGTTCAATTCGTGACCTAATATGTGAAAAATTGAGTCCAAAATCTATATAAACAAGCTTCATGTGATTAGGTT